ATTCCAACAGAGCCATTTTGCTTGAAGATAGCCTCCCGCGCAATGCCCAGCTTGAGCACCTGCAGTCCCAGACCCCCAAAGGATCTAAAAAATAGATCCCCTAGAACCATGTGTGAAATTACATAAGGATTATATAGGGGTTTTGATGGGTCTTTTTAGGGGATCTAATTTTTAGATCCTCCCAGGGGTCTGGGGTGAGAGTTTGTGGGCTTCTTGGTGGTTAGCCAGGGATGAAGATAAGGGCTCAACGGATGATACTGAGGATTATAGGGTTTAAGGGTTTAGGGTTTAGGGTTAAGGGTTTAGGGTTTAGGGTTCAGGGTTTAAGGTTTGGGGTTTAAGGTTCAGGGTGGTTCAGGGTTTAGGGTTTAGGGACTGCCGTACAGACTGAATCCCCCATTCCCTATGCACAACCCAGACCCCCCAAAAGGATCTAAAAATTAGATCCCCTTGTTTCATATGGGAAATTATATAAGGATTATATGGGGGTTATAAAGGGTCTATATAGGGGATCTAATTTTGAGATCCTTCCAGAAGTCTGGGAAGTGGTAGTTTCCACAAATATGAGATCCCCAGTATAAACTCCCAACTACTACAATCCTGATTAAGGGGACCCCCAAAATGGTACCCCTAATGTTGGGAAACCTTAAACCCTAAGCCCTAAATCCTAATCCCTTAACCCTAAACCCCATATAGCCCTATATAACCTACATCCACTATAAATGCCTGTAAAGGTATCCCTAAATTTGGGAAACCCCAAGTAAGCTTGCTTGTTCCAGGAAACCATTACATCCTCATCATTCACTCATCCCTTTACATGAGCTATAGTCTAAACTCCTTAAAGGGGCTATTGTAGGGTTCAGCGATTAGCGTTTAGGGTCTATACTCCTTAAAGGGGGCTAGAGGGGGCATATATTGGGAAATAGTACAGAGATTATTAAGGAGGATGCTAGGAGTTTAGACCCTCAACCCTAAATCCTAAACTCTATACTATAGGGGTTATTAAGTGGGATACTAGGAGTTTAGACTATGGCTTCCATGTCGTTCACAGTGCTTGTTTTGGCGCGTGGCCTGCGTTTTGTAATTGTAGGTTTAGTCCCCGCTAGGAAAGCAGATCGTAGAGCGCTGGCTTCATCCAAGATAACCAAACCCGAAACCCGGTTCAGGGTTTAGGTCAAAGCCCTAAATCCTAAACCCTGTTGTCGGTTGTTGTCGGTTATCCCACGAGTGGTTCCTGCCAAGTCAAGATTGGGTGAGGGCTGAAGGCGAAAAGTTCAACGTTCTTACAAGCCAGAATCCTGAACAAAGTTGGGTTTAGGGTCTAAGGCTTAGTGTTTATGAGTTGATGCTTTGAGTCTAGTGCTGATTGTTTTGGATTTCAGATTGAGGGTTTAGGGTTTAAGTTTAAGTTTTAGTGTTTAGGATTTCGGGTTCCAGGTTTGGGGTTTAGGGCGTCAAAGATCTGTTAGGCCTGGATCTTGGATGGTATACTGGAGCCCCACTTCAGGCGAGGGAACTTAGATATTCCCTAGCCCTAAACCCCACGCTCTTCTTCACTTGATACAAAATGGGGAACTACTAATTACTAAGATGAGTCATTATAGGCAGGATCAGGATCCATCTGCCACATGAACTGCCCAAACCCTTGGAGGCGAGCCTGCTACCACTCACAATTAGCACGGCCGTTTCAGGATAGTCGTGGCAACCCTCAAACCCATAACCCCTAAACGACCGAATCCCTGAATCCCCGAACTCCAAACCCCTGAACACCCAACACCCAAGCTGATAACCCCGAAAATCCAGTATGCCGAAACCCTGCACCACAAACCGAAACCTAGCCCTAAACCAGACCCTTCAATCCTAAACCCCCAACTGCAGAAGCAGAGAAATGATTGGAATAGGGTTGTGGGGCCCATTATACTACGATCCTTCAGGGGTATTGCTGTATAAGATTGGTACGTATTCAAGGTTCTACACGGAATAAACCCTAAACTTTGAAACACGCACCATGCCCCACGAATGTAAACCACTACCTCCCAACTTCCTCTGTTGACAACCCTAATCCGTCCTAGCGCCTGGCCCTGCCGCCAGGCTCCCTTTGGGTAGCAGTCCTTTCAACTCGTGTTAGGGTTTAGGGTGTAGGGTTTGGGGAGGCCCGGGGTCAGAGGTAGGGTTTAGGGTTGAGGATTTAGGGTTTAGGGGATAGGCTGTAGGCTTTAGGGTTAAGGATTTAGGGTTCAGGGTTTAGGCTTTAGGGTTTAGGATTTAGGGTTTAGGGTTTCAGGCTTCGGGGCTAGGGTTGCAAGTCCGGGGTTTTCAGGGCTTAGGGTTTGGGGTCAAGCGTTTGCACCCCTCCTTAAGATTACATTGGGAACACTCCCTATATAACTCCTTATAGTATATTCCCTTATTCCCTACTATCCTTATACACTCCCATATAATATATTCCCTTATTCCCTACTAACCCTCCGTAAGATGGAGGGGGTAGCGTAGTGCTTAATTTGATAAGAGCTTACGTTGCTAACGGCGGGGGCTTGAGGAGTTTCGGGCGCAGGCGTACGGTTTAGGACTTAGGGTATAGGACAATTGTCCCCGTTAAGTAGATAGAATATGGGTTCTGTAGGGACCCTATCTTGCTTTTGTGGAAGTCCACATTCTATCTACTTTAGGGGGACTATAAGGATTCGGGACCCCAAACTGCAGCTTTAAGTAATAGGGTTTAGGGTTTAGGGTTTAGGGTCAGCTTTAAGTAATGGAATCGTACGTCGAGGCCATGAACCTTCCCAAGGAGTGCACAAGTCAGCGGAGTGGGTCTTGTTAGGAGAGGCCTTGATGTACCTTAACCCTACACCCCAAGCCCTAAACCCTAAAAACCCTAAACCGTAAACTTTAAACCCCATGGAGACCAAATCCAGGAGTGCTTGTACTGCTCAGCGTCGTCAGATAAAGGCTCGCTAAAACACAGGCATGACACCGCAAACGCTAAACCATGAACTTAGATGCATGTCGGGCTTAGGGCTAAGGCTACTTCACGTTACATGAATCTCAAACGCAACCACCAAAAACCTCAAGTCCCAGCCAGACCCTCGATCCTGGATGCTAAACAGAAATCCTCTTGCAAAAGCATGAAAGGCACAGCCTGTCCTGAAGCCGAAGCTTCGCAACCCTCAACACATAATCGAACACCGAACCCCTTCAAAAATTAAGATCCTGAACCTTAAACCCCTCAACTATCGGATCCCAAACCCTCAACTCCGAACCCCTGAGCGCTAACCCTGCAAGCCCCAAGCCCGAAGCCCTTAATCACCAAAACCGTAACATCCTAAACCCTAAACCCTACATTCTATCTACTTAAAGGGTAAAACCGTGACCACTAAACCCCAAACAGGCCAGCTATCCCCCAACTCGAAACGGAGGTTTCTCAAAATTAGTGGCATCTTTTGGTGGGTTTACAGGGGTTATATAGGGGCTTCATGGGGATAATGGAAAAGAAAATGGAAACTACTGTTTAGGGTCAAGGGTTTCCCAAAATTAGGGGTACCACTAAAGGGTTTTAAGGAGATATATAGGGTTCTATAAGGGCTACAGAGGGTTTAGCAATTAGAGTTTAGGGATTAGGGTTTCCCAAAATTAGGGGTACCATTAAAGGGGTTATGGAGATATAGAGGGTTCTATCAGGGCTATAGAGGGTTTAGAGCTTCAAAATTAGGGCCCTGCGCACGCTTTTGAGCTGGCCAGGGTCTTCTTGAGCTGTGGAAAGGTACCATTTTGGGGTTTGAGATATAGGGTTATATAAGGCTATATAGGGATTAGGGATTCAGGTTTAGGGGTTGGGATTTCCCAAAATTAGGGGTACCTTTTGCGGTGTCCCTATAATAGGGATTATCCACGGGGGTCCCCTGTTTATACAATTTTCAAGTCAAACCAAAGGTGTCCTCGGCGCGCCCGGCATTCCGGAGGTTGAAAGCGATCCCCCGCTGTTCTATGGCCCACTGGGTTACCCTGGGTCGAAGATCGTAGCTTAGGAATGGAAAAGAAAATGGAAATTACTGTATAAGGAGGGTCTAGGGTCACGGGGATTTTGTAAGTAGGGTTGTGTTGGGGATAACTCGCATTAGTATATGGACTATAAGGCTTATTGACCTACTTCCTAAGTCCCCCTAGAGAGCACCCCTTTCCAACGACTCGGCATTGTTCTCGTCAGAAAAAGGTATAAAAGTTCCCTGCAGTGCAGTGTTCGAGCGCAGAATATCTCTGCCGTGCCAAACAGCAGAATATTGCTGAGGTGCCCAACCGCAGAGTATCTCCGCAGCGCCCGGAGGGTATCCTTGCAGAGCCCAAGCGCAGGGTATTCCTGCAGTGCAGTGCCCAGCTTTCAGAGTATCCCTGCTCCATGCAGCGCCCCAATTTACCGCTGCAGTGCCCAACTTCGGGGTATCCCTGGAGTGCCTAACCTCAGAGCGTAACACTCCAACTGTAGTGCTTGGAATGTGAAGTTGTCATTCTTGCAGGCCGGCACGACGTTTTAGAGTTACACGACTGATGCATGCTCCACATTGTTGCTGGAAGTAGTTTATGGTGCCAGCGAACCACCAAAAAGGTAAGTGTGGGGATGTTCGAAGTGAATACATTGAGCCTCATTTTCTGCGGCTGGGCAATACTCTGCGGTTCTTCTGCGGCTGGGCACTGCGGTGATACTCTGCACTAGGGCACGCCAGGGATATTCGGCGGTTGGATACGGCTGGCACGGCACGGCCGGCTAGAGAACATAGACTTGTTAAATCCAACAACCCCACTGCGAAGGTGGGGAATCAATCAAGGCCTCAAATTACTAATTCCTCCCCCCTACAAAGGCAGAGCAAGCACAAAAAACTGTTTTGAAATCCTTCATATCAACTATGGATTGTAGCCCTCTCAAAGATATGTGGGACACATAACCCAAGGACACAAGCCTTGAAGGTATATACAAACCTAAAGCCTCTAATCATACGGCCAGGGTCTTGCGATCAGAGGGTTGGCAGCTCTTCAGAGCCAGCATGACTTCAGCGTTGGGGATTTCATCCAGGTCGGTAAAAATCATCCTCAGCTGAGCTAGGGTTTAAGATTGAGGGTTTAAAGTCATTTTCCGCCCCTCCAGAATCATGGGCCTGAAGTCCTAAATCCTGAATCTTCCAACCACTAAACCCCTCAAACCTGAGACCCTGAACCTTACACCCCAAATCCTAAGCCATACCTGACCCCAGAAAAATGTAAAATATTGGTCGTAAATTCATGAAAGCACCTAGAATGGCTTTATTCTGCATACTTTTGAAGTCCAAGTAGACCCTAAATCCTGTGGAAATCATCTTGTGTATTGGGTTCCTTTGATTCCGGCTTTACGCACAAGCACCAGTGCAGAATCAATAGGATCCTTATGGGAGGCAACCCCCGCAAAGGGACCCAGAATGTTGAGAGATCACCATACGCACTATTCCAAACTCTGAAACTTCGCCTCACTGTGGCTGGAGGGAGAGTCAAGCAGCAATATAGAAACTGTAACAGGGCTCTACATCCGGAATTTTTGTTTGTTAGTATGAGTATCCATTCCCCACTGCCTCCGACCTGGAGCCCACATGTAGCAAAATACTGGCCCAAAAACATTGTTTTTGAAAACGGAGACAATAAGCCTTGATTTTGCCAACTTTCGGGGTTCCAGTAAGGACCAATAGGCAGTTGGTCCCGAAATCCTCATCCGTACAACCTGCAACCTAAACCTTAAACACTTAACCGAACAACCCAAATATCCTAAACCCCGAAAACGCTGAAGCCCGAAAACTCGAACCCTCAATCCTAAATGGTCAAGCGGAGCATCAACGCCTCGTCCGATAGGTCCGGTCTTTCTTGCTGCAGCAATTCCCAGAGACAGTGGCGCTGCGCATGCTCAATCCTTGGGGCTTGGGGGTCTTGGCGTTTAGGGTTTAGGGTTTGAGGGTTCAGGGTTCAAGATGTACGGTTCAGGATTTAGGGTACGCGCTTTAGGTTTATCAGCGCTTAGGGCGGAGGACTTTTATGGAAGGGGAGTACGGTCTTGGCTCAGATCCTGCATGGCATCAAGTGGCAGTTTCCCAAAAGAAGGGGACCCCAATATAGACCCCCGAATACTATAATCCTTATTATGGGGACCCCCAAAAAGGTACCCCTAATTTTGGGAAACCCCCAAGTATTCTACCTTCATTGAGCAAGAAGAGGCGATGGTTTGGAAATTGGTATGCAATGTAGGGTGGTACTGTACAAAACCCTAAGCCCGAAACAATACCACACTGGTACTTGTGGGGGGGGGGCTGGGGAATATAGACTTTGTTGAGCTGATTCTGTTAAACCTCCAGATGGTGACCTGTAAGCAGCTCTTTGTAGACAACGGCTCCATACGCGGGGGGTTCAATCTTTGTTTATCAATGGTTGGAGGGGTTCTGATTTAAGGCTGGGAACGGAGTTTTGGGGCTTCAGGGCCCCAATTTTTCAGGCCAGTCAGAAACCCAAAATCCTAAACGGCAGCTGCAGCTCCAACGCGAGACCCTAAATTCCCTGAATTCCCTGAACCCAAACTCGTAGGGGAGGCCGGTACATCGGCATGGCTGAGGTCTGCCTTCTCGGAGAAGGCAGATCGAGTCCGGCACCACCCCTGATGGCCCGCGCCTTGCGCATGAGCACTGCTGCAGCACTTGGTAACCCTAATCTCCCGACTTTTGGCTTGGGCAGCTCCGCCCCCTTCCCAAGTGGTGACTTGGTCTAGGTGACCAAAAACAAACCCTAAAGGCAGGGGCAAGGGCCGCCAGGGCAAAAGGGCCGCCAAGTAAGCACACGAGCGCGAACCTCAACGCGCCGGGGCAAGGATCAGACCCTCATGTGGCTGGTTGTCAAAATTATGGTCCCTTTTTGGGTACTCTAAATATTAGGTGCCGTATTATAATAGGGATCCAAAAAAGGACCATAATTTTGACAACCACTCATGTATTCGTTTATGAAGGCGTACCAGATCCTCTCTCAGGCTTGATCATGCCTGTCGCCTACACGGGTAGACACTCCTAAACCATTGAAAGGTGCAAGCATGGGTGTGGGTTTAGGGTTTAGGGTGAGCAAGGCGAACCGACCCCTTCCACCCCTTCCACTCTATTGCCGATGTCGGGGCGCAGCCCCTGGGACGCCCCAAGCCCCAAATACCAAACCCTGAATCCCTAAACCTTAAACCCCTAAACCCCAAGCCCTATATCTATCCCTATCATAATCCCCTATACGATCTCAGCTTCCATTTCTTTCTTCCATGTTCTTTTCCATATGCGCTCCATTACTTATATAACCCCAAATCACAAAATCCAAAAATGGCCAAGCGTCCTATAGGTGTTGTTGCCTCAGGGAACAGGGCACAGGGATGGGTGAGTCCTCCACCCTAGGGTCTTTGGGGTTTATAGAATTTTTGGTGCTTACGGTGTAGGGTTTAGGGAGTTTAGGGTTGAGGGTTTAAGGCTCAGAGGTAGCTGGTTTACAGTGTTCTGAGTTTACGTTTGTGACGGTTGGGGCGTTACCAAGGGACCCTACCAGCGGCTTCCCCAGATGCATGGGGACTACCGAAAAACTTGGGGGTTTAGGGTTTAGGGTTGGGAATCTATCATGAGAAGATCGAATGAGAGAGAGAAGGGACAATGAAATGGGCACTGGGATTATATAGGGGATGCTAGGAGTTCATATTTCCGTAATAGAAAGTGGCGGAATCGGGAGTCCCTTTAAGGAGTCCCTCCTAATCGCCCCAAATACACCTTCAATCCTGAGCCCTGAATCCTGAACCCAGCACTTTCAACTTGACCCTACGCCCGAAATATCCCCAAACCTAGAACCCTAAACCCGAAATCCTGAATCCCAAGCCCCAGGCGCTGAAACCCTTGGTTCCGAACCCTTTGAAGCCGGTAACCTTGAACCTCCCACCTTAGGCCTAATCAGGAGGAGTGGGTAGGGTGTAAGGTTTAGGGTTTAGGGCTTAGGGCTTAGGGCTTAGGGTTTAGGGTTTAGGATTTGGAGTTTTGTGTTTCAGACAACTGGGATCAGGAGGCATGGTGAGGGTGTAAGAGCAAGCCAGTTTACAATTCATGTCCCATGATTGGGGTACAATCCCTGAAGCCTATATTCCCATTTTCAGGAACCGATGGTGCCTGTTCCATTTTCCATTTTCCATGTGATTCTCCATTAGTGTTGGAGGTCTGCTCTGCGGGGGTGCTATTACTCAGGGATATAAGTAAGGTATAGAGCGTCGGGAGCTTAGTATTGAAGGCTTCGGGTGTTGGGCTTAGGGTTTCGCCGCCTCCAGATATGGCATGCTGCGCGCGGCTTTCTTCCACCCTTTTCTGGTAGCGTGGGCAGCGGTCCATATCCAGATACCTCTTATGGGGTCTGAGGAAAAAGGTCATGGGCATATAGAGTTTAGTGAGGCCTCCGGATTTAGGATAGGCCTTGGATGCGGTGTGTTTGGGGAAGCGTCTTGGGATAGTAGGTATATATAGAGTTCAGGGTCCCTGGCGTGCAGTCTTTGGTTGAGGTTTGCACGAGGGCGGTTCTGGACGACTACGGGTTTGCATAGGGTTGGAGGCGCGAATCTTAGGAAACGTCAGGGTGGATGTTGTTCGTCTCCCTAGGACCGGATGTGGAGATTGTGGGGTGCAGGGTGTTGGCCTTGTGAGGTTCTTGACGCTTCTTACAGCTACCGTGTTCTAAAGCAGTAAACTCTTGACTTAAATCTGAACTCATGGGCTCCCTACTACTCCACCCCAACCTACCCCTCAGCTCAGATAGTGCCTAAGTGGTAGTATCCCTAAATAGGGGACCCCAACAGTCCTTATTATTGGGACCCCCAAAATGGTATCCCTAATTTTGGGAAACCTTATTAAACCCTGAGCCCTCATCAATAAACCCTTAACGCTGATCCCTAAACCCTAAACCATAAAACCCTATACCCCAAACCCTATACCCATAATTTTGGAAAACCCAATCAATCAGCTTCAAAAAGTACCCCGCCAAACCGGGTTTAGGGTTTAACGTTTAGGGTTTAGGGTTTAAGGTAAGGAATGGAAAAGAAAATGGAAACTACCATATTAACTAGGACTTAGGGATTAGGTCAGGTGGCGATCCTAAGGAATGGACTAGAAAATGGAATCTACCATTATATTAACTAGGTTTAGGGTTAGCAAGGCAAATCCAGCCCTGTTCATACCAGCGCTTTAAATGTGAGATAGGGAGGGAATATAGGGACTGTTCTAGCGGAGTCTAAAAGCTACGTACTTGTAACTTTTAAATTAGGACCCACTGCGCCTGGAGCACCAGCGTGTAATACCCCCACTAAGTGTCGAGCCCAACGATCTAAAGGCATCCAAAATCACGAAAAACACGAAGCCGCAAAAACTATACTATTGGAATACCAAGCCCCAACCCTTCAACCCTAAAATCCTGAACCCTGCTAGGTTTAGGGTTCAGGGCTTAGGGAGGGTCAGGGGGACTTAGTAAGCAGGTTAATAACACCTATAACATATGCAGTAGCCCTACTTACCCCCATTTTCGAGTTACTTACTAAATCAATCCCTCTGACCCTCAAGTAAACATACCCAAGACCAGAATCCTCAAACCCAGAACCCTAACAAATCCTAGACCCTAGAACACATAAACCAACCCTAAACCTGAAAACTCAGAACCCTGAAACCTAAACAAACCCCAAACCCTGAAACTCCAAACCCCGAACCCAAAACAAATGACAAACCCTGAAACCCAAAACTCTGAACGCTAAACGGCCTGCAATGCCACCGCATCCAAGCTGCAAGATCCGCTCCCGAAAGTCTGCATAGCGCTGCGCGTAGCGCTGAAACAACCTGGCTTGGGCGTAATCTCAACTATACAACGGCCTTGTTTTGGGGAATAAATGATTACTACGGTTGATGGACATAATCCTGCATGACTTTATATGCCTAAAGCCTGGGAGTTTTGGTGGTATATTATATTTATTCAGGATCATGCGGGATTTTGTTGTAGGGGGGTGTTAGCTTTTATTCTTACCCGCAACCCTAAACCATACACCCTTAACAAGAACAACCTAAAGCCCCCAAACCATGAACCCCAAACACTAAGCTGTTTAGAGTTTAGGTTTTCAGGGTTTAGGTTGAGGTTTTCGGGTTTAGGGATTAGGGTTTACGGATGAGGGTTTAGGTTGAGGTTCTAGGGTTTAAGCATTATGCATTATGGTTGAGGGTTTAGGGTTTAGGGCCAAAACACCACACCATAAATCACAAACCCAAACCCTGAAAGCAGCCCTGCATGTCCGTGTAAACCCCGGCAGTCCTCGATACCTCTATATAGCCTCTACACACCTCCATACAATCCCCATAAGCGCTTGTAAACCCTAAACCAAACCCTAAACCCCCCAAACCCAAACCCCTAGACCCTTGACCTGAAGCCCAAAAATACACCTGAAACCCTGAACTCCCTAAACCGCATAAGCCCCCCAACCCCAAACCCTGAATCAACCTGTGATCCAAAACCCTAAGTCAAACCCGAAAAAATGAACACTGAACCCTAAACTCTAAATAGAGTCATAATGCTACGGAGACACCAAAATCCGAAGCCCGTAAACCCTCAACCCTAAACCCTATTTCCATCTTGTTTTCCATTATCCCAAAAAAAACCTATATAACCCCAACAGAACCCACCTTAAAGCCTAAACCCTAAACCCTAATCTCTAAATGGCAGGCCTGGGTTTCAGATCCCCCCGGAAGCTGTGGTTGGACTCGGCCACCACGAAGAGGTCCGCGATGTCCCAGAGCTCTAGGATTCGCAGCTCTAGGAGGTCTAACTCCGGGCCTGCAGGGTTTAGGGTTTAGGGTCTAGGGTTTAAGGTTTAGGGTTTAGGGTTTCGGGTTTAGGGTTTACGGTTTAGGGGTCTAGGGTTTAAGGTTTAGGGTTTCGGGTTTAGGGTTTAGGGTTTAGGGGTCTCGCTCGGGGCCTGCCACTTTGATATGAGCTATAGTCTAGACTCCTTAAAGGGGGGTTATATAGGGGATTACATAGGGGACTACAACAGGGAATATTAAGGGGGATTGGGTTTAGAGGGTTTAGGGTTTAGGGCTCAAGGTTTAGGCTTCAAGGCGTTCGAGGGATAGTGTTGGGGTTTAGGGCTCCGCTGCTACATCCCACGGGTGGTACAGGGATTCTGTTCAGACTAGAGTTTAGGGGTTAGGGTTTGAAGTTTCAAGCGTTTGGGCAGGAAGGGTCTAGGGGTCTAGGGCTTGATCACAAGAATGGCACCATTGAAAGCACAGTGCTCAAGAACTTAAATTCAAATGCTATCCTAATACTCACAGATGAAGTAACCCTCCTCATTGCTGCTATTTTATCATAAGCCCACGGACAGCGTTGGAGTTTCTCAATCCAACCCTACTGAAAGGCCTCAGGACAAAATGCCTTATTTGCAAGTTCATCCTCGTGAGGTTCTACAGTATCTTTGCAAACCCAAATCTCTTTGTCATGTAATTAATGTCCATATGGTATACGGGTGCAATCATTTGATAAACCCACACTCCATCCTATACATTTATGCTGAGATCCCCTTCTTCAACAAAAAGCCTTTGGAGACCCCAGTCGCATTTGAAGATTGGTGCTACCAGAATCAACACAATCCCGGACAAAAACAAGATGCAGGTGCAGCTTTCATGCTTATTTCCTGTTCCATTTGATTTTACAATATGTACAGCAGACATAACAAAGGACCACAAATTTTGGCCTAAACCGTTAAACCCTCAACCCTGAATCCCACAACGCAATCCTACGCACTATATTCTACACCCTGCACCCTAATCTCTGAGTTTACACTGACTGAGGTTTTCGTTCCCAGCGGTTGATTGATAGGGGCCAACACAAGAATTTCGTCAAATAGATATATAGGGATCTCACATGAAAGCACCTTATGACCGATCCCCAGAAGGCAGCGATGTTCCCACAAAAGGCTTACCCCAAACCCCTGAACCCTAAACCCCTAAGCCCTAAACCCTAACGACCCTAAGCCCTTTTGTTGTATTCCTGAATTTCTGGCGTCCTCCGCCCATGCCGGTGGGAATATCCACAAGCAATCGGGGCTCTCTCCGCAAGCTGCCATTCCTATGGTGGTTGCGGGAGTCAAGGTTCAAGAGTTCAATGTGTAGGCTTTAGCACCCTTGGGGCTTAGGGTTTAGGGTTTAGGGTTTAGGGGGGTTTACCGGGGAGTGAGGTTCAGGAGTTTAGGGAGCAAGGTTTAGGCTTACGACGTAGGATCGAAAGCTGCAATGTTACTTGCCTGGGGTTTCAGGTATGTAGGGTGGTGCCAAATTTCCCCAATCCACTATATGCATTGCAACACAAACTCGAGGTTTCAGGCTTGATGGGAAAGATGGTATACCAGCTATGTTTAGGGTTTAGGGTTTAGGGCCACATTATGCCCTTCCAACTCTACTCATGGAAGTTTATTTACACGAATCGGATGCCCAGATCCCTACCCCAACGCCCTAGTGGCTTGAACCCAAGATCCGCTTCATTCGGCTGCTCTTCAGGAGCGTACCACAAGTCACCATACGAATATCGTACGTAGTGTAAGGCTTCGTTACAATCGTAGCCAAAATCAAGTTCGTGAACAGCAACCCAGTAAACCCTGAACCCTAAACCCAGAAACTCCAACTCTCAAACACCAAAGGGCAGGATGTGAGGATAGAGCTCCTTCATCCTACAGCAGCGTTTTGGCGTTCATTTGAGCTCTAGTGCTTCGGGTTGGGAACTAGGATTTTGGGGCTTGAGCGCTTCAGAATGAAGAGTCTAGAGTCTAGAGGTTCTGGTTTAGGGTTTAGGGTTTAAGGGTTTAGGGTTAGGGTTTAGGGCACACAGTTGGCCTGAGAAGGAAAACATTTTCAAGGCTGAATAGATTCATGCTCAGGGTTTGGAAGCTCGAATCCGCGAATCCTAAACCCTAAAACCTGCACCCTTAAGCCCTAAAACCCTGAAACCCTAAATCCTGAACCCTTAAACCTTAAATTGTTGCCCAGAACCCGCAGCGTATCCGCATCCCCATGGAACATTTTGGCCGCTGGCTTTAGGGTTTAGGGTTTAGAGTTTAGGGCTTAAGTATATATATATATATACATATATATATATATATAGAGAGGTATGTGTGTATATATATATATGAACCATAATCTAGGCTCCTAGCATCCCCCTCAATAACCCATATTGTTGTCCAAAATATGATCTCTTATATAGCCCGCTTTAAGGAGTTAAGACATAGTATATATGGGGATACAGCCGACAGGCAGCCCTTATCTTTTAAACCCTAAACCCAGAATCCTGAATCTCGGACTTTAAACTCTGAACACTACATAATAAACCCTTTACCCTAAACGCTTAAGCCTGAAAAATTAACCACAAACCCTGAAACCTAAACGTCTTACCCACAACCCTCGACCCCAAAGCCCTCTACCCTAAACTCTCTACCCTAAACCCTAGAACCCTAAACCTTCTACCCTATACCCCAAACCCTAAACCCTCTACCCTGAACCCCCTACCTCAAACTCGTCCTGCAGTCTGGCTCCAGTGGCTTCGGCCTCCGCGGCTGCTGCAGCGGCGCAGGGGGAGGGAGGTCCGCTAAGGCCTCAAAGAGCTGCTCCCGAACCTTCAAAGGAGGAGGGCTATAGTCCCCCTTAAATAGATAGCATAGGGTTTGGGGTTTAGGGTTTAGGGGTATAGTCCCCCTGAAGTAGATACGATTTGGCTTTGGGTACATTATAGTAAGATCTCCATATACCCCATATTATATGTACTTAAAGGGGACTATAATGTTTGAAGGAAAATTTCAGGTTTTAGCGTATTGGGTGGGTTAGAGTAAAGAGTTCGGGGTAAAGGTAGGTTTTGCGGTTTTAGGGTTTAGGGCACCGGACTTAGAGTCCGAGATTCAGGATTCAGGGCTTAGGGCTTCGCAGTGATGAAGCAGAGTTGGCTAGGAAGCAAAATGCTATCAAATTCACACGGCCCACGACACAATCCTTAAGAGAACCCATGATATCCCCTTTCAACGTCATCATATCTAGCATCCCTGCGACCACTCTTTCCAGCCTGCCAGGCTCTGGTGGTTCTCAAGCAGCGACTCCAGGGTTAAGGGTTTAGGGTTTAGGTGCCACCGACAACGATGTCTACGCATGTGCGGCGGCTTTGGGACGACCGCACACACCAGCGACAGCATGTACGACAAGTGGCCGAGATTTAGGTTGAGGTTTAGGGTTTAGGGTGTGGGTTTAGGGTTGTGGGTCGTGTCTCTTAGCCGTCCGAGCCCTCGATCCCAAAAGTCTGACCCCCGAAGACCAAAACCCTGGAACCCCTGAGACCTGCACCCTTACGCCTTACAACCTCAAACCCTAAACTCCCCCAAACCTGGCTAAAGCCAACAACAAAACTCCTATACCCTACGCCCTAGTGAACAGAAATCCCAAAAACCTAACCCTAAACCCCAAACCTAAACCCCTCACAGCTTCAAAGCCCTCAAGCTGCCAATAAATTGATCCCTCCACCTAATCAGAGTATGTTTCTTCCCCATATGTTAGATATAGCTAATAGTGAGCCAGCCACACCAGTAATGTGCAGGATTTGGTGGCCATCCCTAAACCCTAAACCTTAAACTCTAAACCCTAAACCTTAACCCTGAACCCTAAACCTTAAACCCTAAAGCTCAAACCTCAAATCCTAAACCCTGAAGCGTAGGTCGAGGGACCGCTAGAGGTTCTCGGAGGGCCGGTTTTGCAGGCCAACCATCTCGTGGCCCGAGCAAGTTGCAGACAAGTCCGTAGAAACGAAGTAGCAGCTC